GGCCGAGTTTCTCAATGAGATCACACTGGCCCCAGAGTCACCACACTTGACTCACCGTGCCTCCTGTGCTGACTCTGTAATTATCCACCTCTCCTGCTCACTCTGCCCCCAGGCCGAGCTCTTCCTGTACCCCCAGGCCTGCCAGGAAGCCTGTGTGCGGCAGGGGCTCCATAAACCTCCCGAATGAACAGAAATGGTCTGGTGGGGGTCACAGTGACCCGGTATTCACAGCCTGGCCACTGAGGCTGACCTCAAGCCTGGAAGCTGGGCAACTGCAGCCCTGCAGCTGATTCCTCCACAGGTGGGAACAACAGAAGGGCAGGTAGAGGTCCCCGGCCTCCCCTCACTAACGCCTCCTCGCTAGCTCATGGCCAGCCGCAGGGGCCTCCCCGCCAGCCCTGGGTTTCAGTCACAGTCCCAGCCGTTCGGGGCCTGGCTGCGCCTCTTCGGGGCTGGAGTTGGGGTGAAGATACCCAAAGCAGGTCCCCTGGTCAAGAGGAAGGCGTGGGAGATTCATTTCCTTCTCCCAGCCATTCAGCGAGAAGGAGCTTCCCCCCTGTTACCACGTCCCTGGGGCTCTAGTTTCCCACCTGGAGGTGCTTTTTACTTCTCGGGGAAGAGCCTGAACCAGAAAGAGCTCTGGAGGGCAGGGAGAGCATCTCTTATTACCACTCCTTCATTCGTTTCTTCAACGAGTATTTTCTGAACTGAGTAACCAAGCAACCGCACTCGACTCATTTCTGTGTACTTACCCACTACTTCCCTCACCCGCCACCCTGGGCCTTGTACAATATCTTGACGTCATAGTTGCTAGTGTCTGAAAGAATGGACAAATGAATGCCCTGGAGGACAAGGGTTCTAATTTCAACCCCACCTTGTACTGTTGGAGTGAAGTCTGTAAAACGCGGGCACATGTCCCGTCGTTGCCCAGCCCAGGGCGTTTTTTGTCCGAGTGAGATGGGGAATGTCAGTGCACTTTGAAAATGGTTTTGCTCTACTGAAACTTAAGAGGCTTGAGACTTGTGGTCAGGAATGGCAAGTGGTCTTGCTCTGGGCACTAACAAGCTACCACTGGTAATGGCTGCTGGGAGGAGCGGGTTGAGGAGGGTTCTGAGGCCGAGACCAGGGTAGTTATTGGTCAGCACTGTCTGGCCTGAGAAAAAGCAGTGGGACACCTGCTTGTCTTCCCCTACCCCGTGCGGGGCTCAGCCCTGAAGCAGCATCCCTGCACAGCCTGCTTTGACCCATCTCCTCCAGGGCCCTGCAGTTGGTGACGTTGCTGAGTCTGGCTGGCACCCTTGCACTGGGTCCTTTTTCCTCTTCTTTACCTCCAGCTCCTGGCAGCCCGAGGAAGCTGGGTGTGCAGAGCCTCACTTCCTCTTTCTCAGGGTTCTAGAGAGGAGGAGGCCTGGCTGCCAGGGGCCAGAACATACTGGTAGGAGTTCTCTCCCTGCCATGGGGGAGAGGCATGGGCACCCCTCTGCCCTGGGAGGGCCTCTGGGACTCCAGTGAGGGTTCCAGTAACTTTTCTCTTAGTCCGGAAGAGGGTCTGTGGCTGTCCTTTGCTCACAGATGGGTTGTGTTCTCAAGTCTCTTCTACAGATCAGTTGTTGGAATATAGTGTTTCGTAGAGACAACAATAATAATAATGGCTAATATTTATTAAGCTCTTGCCAGGTACTAGGCACTTTGCTAAACCCACTTGATGAAGTCTTGCCTGACCCTCCTAACAGCACTAGGAGGTAGATTTGATTATGTCCCATTTTATTTGCTTAGCAGATGAGGGCACAGAGAAGTTATCCGACTTGACACACATCACACAGCTAGTAAGTGACTGGGCCAAGATTCACACCCAAGTGTCTGTCTGGCTCCAAAGCCTGTATCCAAGCCGGGAGACCACAGTGGGCAGGGGCAGGCACTGGGACCTAGGGCCCGAGGGGCAGGATTAGGGGTTGGGTTTGGAGTAGCATCAACAGCTTTGGGAAGAGCTGGGGAGTTCTGCACACTGGGGTGTCACAGCCTGAGCCGTTTGTCAGGACTAAGGCTCCTGTGAACCCAGCACTGTGCCTTGCAGCCTCTCACTCAGCCCTCACCACAGCTCTGTGAGAGTGAGATGGTCTTGTCTCCATTTTATGGATGAGGAAACTGAGGCTCAGAGAGGTGAAGAGACTTCCTGAATTAGCAAGTGGGTAGCAAAACCAGGATTCGAACCCAGTGTTTCAGACTCCAGAGCCTGTGCCTTGCTGCCCCTCATGAAAACAGCTACTAGTAAGTACTCACCAAGTGTTAGTTCCCTTACGTGTACTATTTCTTTTCTTTTTTTCTTGTTCAATTAAGTTCCACTTTTAAAAAAAAATCATTTATTTATTTTTGGCTGCGTTGGGTCTTCCTTGCTGTGCATGGGCTTTCTCTAGTTGCAGCGAGCAGGGGCTACTCTTCGTTGCAGTGTGCAGGCTTCTCATTGCAGTGGCTTCTGTTGTTGCGGAGCACGGGCTGTAGGCACGCGGACTTCAGTAGTTGTGGCTTGTGGGCTCAGTAGTTGTAGCTCACAGACTCTAGAGTGCAGCCTCAGTAGTTGTGGCGCATGGGCTTAGTTGCTCCGCGGCGTGTGGGATCTTCCTGGACCAGGGCTCGAACCCATGTCCCCTTCATTGGCAGGCGGATTCTTAACCACAGCGCCACCAGGGAAGTCTCAAGAGTCAGTATTCGAACTCCAGGCCTGGCTGTATCTCTCCTCTTTGCCTGCTGCCTCGTAGTTGATAGGCCCAGGACTGCCTGTTTATCCCACTGTCCTTGCCCTCAAGCAGTGTAGGGTCCAGTTGGAGAGACAGTGTACACACACAGCAGTCCTGTCCCAGCTCGGCATGGAGCAGAGAGTGTGTTCTGTGCTGTGTGTGAGGTCCGACAGCCCCGAGGCTCCTGTGGTCAGGGAGGCTGCTGACAAGGCCCGGTGAGTCCTGGTGTGCAGAGAAAAGGGAGGCTGGGCTCAGGAACAGGGGCAGGAAGCTGGGGCAGAGCAGTGGGAGAAAGGCTGGGAATGGAGGTTGAGCCCAACTGTGGAGGGTCCTAACATCAGGACAAGAAGTTTGCCTTTATCCTGTTTTTTAGGGGAGGCCAGTGAAGGGTTTCTGAGCTGGGAAGTGACTCACGAGGGGTTATTTAGAGGAATGTGACAGTGTGTACAAGGCGGGTGGAAAGGCAGAGGGTCTGGGAGCAGGTAGTCTTCTGGGGAAGCTGTCTGGTGATACGGGCCTGGCCTGGGTTAGGGTGTTGGGAGTGGAGAGAGTGACAGGTGATGAAGGAAAAACCTGACCAGACCTAGCAACTGGCCAGGCATGGATGAGGGAGAAGGAAGGGTCTGCGAGGAGCCTTCAAACTGGGTTCCCCTGCCTCTGCCACTTACTGGCTGCGTGACCTCGGACAAATCCCCTGACCTCTCTGGCCCTCTTTTCTCATTTGTAAACTGAAGGAGTTAGAACAGAGGCAGTCAGTGAAGGGACATTTGTCAGCTATCTGCTGTGTGCCCGGGGCTGTGTTATATGCTCTTTGAGGTTCCTTTCGGCCCTTGGGTTGTGCCATCCGCAGAAATAAGGAACTAGACAGGGAAAAATAACACTCATGACACTTCAAAATTTACAAGAAGACCTCAAGCCCAAGCCTTGGGAGCTTGGGTTCACGTCCTGATTCTGCCACTGTGTGGCCTTGAACAAGTCACTAGCCTCACTGAAAAGGCTCCTTAACTGTAACCTGGAGATGATGACGATCACTTTACCTCCTGGGGTGTTATCAGGACTGAAGAGGAGACTCTACGCCACATGCCAGCATACAGTGGCACGCAGTGACCTGTTCCCTTTCCCTTCTTCCTCTCAGTAGTTCTGTGAGCTGGCAGTAACAGTGCATACTTCCTAAGCACTTGCTTTGTGCCACTTCACACGTATTAACTCATTTAACCCTCGCAGCCTCTTTATGAGGTGAGTACTCTTCTTATCCCCACTTCGGTGATCGAGGAAACAGGCACAGAGAGGTTAAATGATTTGCCTTGTCACACATCTAGCAAATGGCATCATCAAGAGAAACCCAGCTGGTAAAAGGTGGAGCTAGGACTCGTGTCCCATTCTACCTGTTATACACATCTTACAGATGAGAAAACTGAGGCTCAGAAAAGTTCATTGGACTGCAACCTCGCACACAGTCAGTGGCAAAACCAGGTTTCAGAGTCTGTCCATTGGCCTCAAACCCCCTGCCTTGACCGTGCTGCCATTGCTAAGGAAGAGATGCTTAGATGCTTCGTTCCATTTTAAACGTGCTGCCGTCGAAGTGGTGGTGAAACAGCCTAGCAAAAGTCTCTGGGAGCTAGGAACGTGAGACAGAATCCGCTTCACTGATGCATGCCAAGTGCCTAGAATAGTGCCTGGCACACGCTAGGCACTCAGTAAGTAATCGTCGGGGGCAAGTGGCCAAACTGGAGATGTTATCTGGGACTCAATCCAGTGGAAATGATGTCTGGGAACATAGCCGAGGGCTGGGGATCCCAGGCAGCCCTGTGTGACTCTCGGGATTCTGTCTGAGGAGAAGCCACTGTTCTGGGGAACGCTGGTCTTCCGTGGCCTGGGGGACCAAGAGGCTCTGTGGGTAGAATTGTGGGTTTTGCATATGGCAGATCTAAGTTCAGCTTCCTGCTCTGCCAGCCTACCCACCTTGTGACGTCGGACAAGTTACTTTCTTTTTCCTTTTTCTCAGATTTTTACTGAAGTATAACAGGCTTGCTAAAAGTGTACAACTCGTAAGTGTTCTGTTTGTTGAGGGTTCACGGTTGGAACACACACGTAATTAGCACCCAGATCAAGAAACAGTGGTGTCCCAGGAGCCCCCCTTGTGCCCCTTTCCGGTCTCTGTCAGCCCCCGCCCCCAAGGATAACCACGATCCTGACTTTTAACACCATAGATTACTTTTATCTGTTTGTGAACATTTTGTTCTCTTACGTCTATGGGTATTTTTCACTTTACACAACGTTTGTGAGATTCATTCATATTGCCGTGTGTAATTAAGGATCATTCATTCTCATTGCTGTATAGAATGCCATTGTATGATATACTGCAATTTCTTTTTTTTTTAATCCATTCTACTATTGATGGGTGTTTGGGTAGTTCCAGATTTTGGCTATTTTGAGAATTGTTTTTGGAACAGTCTTGTACTTGTCTTTGGTGCACGTCAGTTCATGCGCATTTCTGCTGGGAAAACACCTACGAGTGGGATTGCTGGGTTGCGTGTGCTGAGCTTTGGTAGTTAGTGCAAAACAGTTGTCCAGAGTGGTCATATGAGATTTCTAGCTGTGTGGCCTTGAACGAGTCACTAGCCTCACTGAAAAGGCTCCTTAACTGTAACCTGGAGATGATGACGATCACTTTACCTCCTGGGGTGTTATCAGGACTGAAGAGGAGAATATACGCCATGTGCTCAGCATACAGTGGCACGCAGTGACCTAGCTGCTTTACATTTCTGCCAACACTTGAGAGATGTGTGTGTGTGTGTGTGTGTGGTTTTTTGTTTCTTTTTTTCAATTTTAGCCATTCTGGTGCATATGTGCTGGTAATATATTGTGGTTTTAATTTCCATTTCCCCGATGACTTAACAAGTACGAGCACTTTTTCATGTGTCTGTTAGCCATTTGACCACCTTCTTTTATGAAATGCCTCTTTGAATCTTTTGTCCATGTTCGAATTCAGTTGTCTGACTTTTTCTTACTGACTCATAGGAATTCTTTACATATTCTGGATACGCATCCTTTGTCCTTTGTCAGATAAACGTACTGCAAATACAACTCTGAAGGTCATCTTTTCATTCTCTTGATGATCTCTTTAGATGAACAGAAGTTCTTAATTTTGATAAAATGCTGTTTATCATATTGCTCTTTTATGAGTAGTCCCTTTGTGTCTTGTTGAAGAAATCTTTGTCTACTCCAGAGTCATGAGGTTGCTCTATTTTTCTTTTTCTTTTTTTTAATCCAGAACGTTCGTATTGCGAGCTGCAGTCCATCTGGAATTGAATTTGTATTTAGTGGGAGGCAGGGGCGCAGATATGTTTCCCCCCCGCCATTTGTGTATCCAGTGGACCCCGCACTGTTTACTGGGAGGAGACCATCTTCCTTCCTTTTTTTTTTTAAGTAAATTTATTTATTTATTTATTTATTTATGGCTGCATTGGGTCTTTGTTGCTGCGTGCGGGCTTTTCTCTAGTTGTGGCGAGTGGGGGCTACTCTTCATTGCGGTGCATGGGCTTCTCATTGCGGTGTCTTCTCTTGTTGCGGAGCGCGGGCTCTAGGCACGCGGGCTTCAGTAGTTGTGGCACGTGGGCTTCAGTAGTTGTGGCTCGCGGGCTCTAGAGTGCAGGCTCAGTAGTTGTGGCGCACGGGCTTAGTTGCTCCGCGGCATGTGGGATCTTCCTGGACCAGGGCTCAAACCCGTGTCCCCTGCATTGGCAGGCGGATTCTCAACCACTGCACCACCAGGGAAGCCCCCATCTTCCCTCTTGGCACCGCAATGTTACCTTTGTCGTGAACCACACGAACATGTACATGTTCATATCTGGAGTCTCTGTTCTGTTCCATTGGTCAGCGTTTCTACCCTTGTACCCAAACCAGGATGTCTTACGTGCTAAGGCTTTATCATAAGTGTTGATGTCCTGTGGTATAAGTCCTTTAGCTTTGTTCTTCAAGAGTGCCTTGGCTATTCCTGGCCCTTTGATTGCCATGTGAATTTTAGAATGAGTTTGTCAATTTCCACACACCAAAAAAATCCTGACTGGGATTATGTTGAATCTACAGATTAATTTAGGGAGAATAAATCCTTTTTTAATATTGAGTCTCTGCCAATCCATGAATATCATATATCTCTGTATTTCTTTTTTCTCTTAAAATTTTTATTATGAAAAATTTCTAACATTCAGAAAAGTTGGAAGAATTAATACAACAAATTCCTATACATTCACTGTCTAGATTAGTTATTTGTGTCACACACACACCCACACACCCACACACATAATTCTTATTAAGCCATTTCATAATAAATTATATACATCATAGACACCTAACCCATCAATACTTCAATATGTATCTCCAAGATTTAAGAATAGCCTCCTCATAATGACAATTCCATTATCACATCTAGGAAAATTAATAGTTCCCAAATTTCTAATCTATAGTCATTTGTCCCCCATCACCCTCCAAATCTCTTTTGTTGCTGTGTTTTGTTTTTGGAAACAGGATCCAGTCTAGGACCAAGCATTGTATTGGTTTATATCTCTTAAATCTCTTTTAATTTAGAACCATCTCCCTTCTCCTTTTGTAAGTGACATCAACTTAAAAAAATTTTTTTTAATTGAACTATAGTTGATGTACAGTATGACATTGACTTCTGTTAGAGAGCAGGCCAGTGGTCTTGTAGATGTCCCACATTCTGGATCTGATTGTTTCTTCATAGCTTTAGTCTCACTGTGTCCTCTGTCCCTCTGTCTCCTGAACCTCCTGGAAACCAGAACTTAGATCCAGGCTTGTTTAGATGCAGATAAACCTCGCGAGGGCTTCCCTGGTCTCCCTTTCTGATAGCCCTCCTTAGAGTGGCACGCGAGCAGGTGTGTGAAGCTTCAGCGCGGCGCTTGGCGCATAGCAAGTTTCGGTAGGTGGCAGCAGCTCTTGAGATTTGTCCCCCACTTAGGGATTTTGCCCTAACGTTTGTTCCCCAGAAACAGCTTCCCTAAAGCTTCTCTTGTCCCGGCCAGGCAGCACTGGCTTCCCCCCGTGCTGCGGCTCCCGGCTCTGGGCTTGGCCATCCCCCATCTGTCTCTCGTCCCCGTCTCAGACAACACAGGCAGTTCCACGTACCGGCCACCCCCTCGGACCCGGGAGGTGATGATCAATGGGCAGGTGGTGAAGCTGAAGTACTGCTTCACCTGCAAGATGTTTCGGCCGCCCCGGACCTCACACTGCAGTGTCTGCGACAACTGTGTGGGTAAGTGGGAGCCCTGAGAGGGATGGAGCCTTGCAGACAGGGGAGTCGCTCATGGGGGCCGGGGGGTGTCTGAAGTATCCAGGGCTGGGCAGGAAGTCTGGTTCACCTAGATTTGCTGTGACTGAGGAGGGGCTGTGGAGCGGGGGCTCCGAATGTGACCAGTGGTACCTTGCCTTCAGCGCAGGATTAGTGGATTCCTTCCCCCAGCTCTGAAGTGTGGGGCAGACACAGAGATGCCCTGAACCCTTCTTCCAGGCCTTGGCCTGGTCCTCAGTAGGTCCAGGTTCCAAGGAGCCAGAGACTAGAGCAATGACATTCTAGATATGTGGCCCAGGGCCAGCTATACCGAAAGACTTTGACCTGATTCCCAGAATTTAGAGGGACAAGAATCCGGGAACAGAGGAGTTTAAGCTGGTGGGGTGGAGAGGACATAGCCAGGCTTGGAAGCTAAGCTCCTGACCCACAACTGCAGTGGTTGCTGGGGAGCCAGAGGCTGTTTTGTCCCCTTTCCCTGCTCTCCAGAGGTCTGGCAGCTCTGATGGGGACCCAGGGTGCGCCCCTGGGAGGGTGTTGTAAGGGAAAGGCTATGCAGAGGACCCAGGCGAGCTGAGCCTCGTTGACTGTGCCCGGTCCCCAGGGCGGAGAGCTTATCACGCTAGCTCAGTACTCCCTGAGCGAGAGAACAGTGGGGAACACCCAGACAGCAGGAAGTGAAGTGGGTGACTCAGTGGGCGTCATTCATCCCCGAGAATCTGTCCCACCCCGCCCACACCGTGAAGGGCCCTGGCCTGGGTGTGAGGCCTGCGACAGGCTTGTGACCCACATTCCCACAGGGGACTTTCCTCACTGGTCTGGGTGTGACCCCACCCCCAGGGACATAGTACTGGTGTGAGCTCAGCCCTCTGACTAGGCCTCCGATGCCGGTTCTCCACAAGTTACGTCGCGGCCCAGCCCCTCATTGGTCCTCTATTCTAGAGCAAGGGACAGGGGTCATTGGTTGTTGGCATGGGGCTGGGATCGTAGGCCAGGTGACAGGTACTTTTTGTGGCTCTTCTTTGTACCAGATACTGACTGCCAGACCCTGGGATGCAGCTCAGGCCCTCTCATGGGGCTCACAATCGAATAGGGGTTACAGGCCAGCCCACCAATTGTAAATAAATATATAAACACACGTGGGCAAAGTGCAGCAAAGGATAAATGCCGTGGCAACAAGGCAGATAACAGGGGCCTCACCTTGTCTGGGGTTGGGGGAGACTTTCTCAAGGAAGTGGCCTTGCAGCTGAGACAAGAAGGAAGAATTACGGGAACTGGCAGGTGAAGGACCAGAGGCCGGGAGTGTCGAGGAACCGAGCGTCACGTGTGGAGAGAGCGAAGGGGTGGAGCTGTGAGGGGCCTCTAACACCCCTGCCGGCTGTGGGCCAGGGTGGCCCTAACCCATCTCCCTGGCCCTTCCAGAACGGTTTGACCATCACTGCCCCTGGGTGGGCAACTGTGTGGGGAAACGGAACTACCGCTTCTTCTATGCGTTCATTCTTTCCCTCTCATTCCTGACGGCCTTCATCTTCGCCTGCGTGGTCACCCACCTGACGCTGCGTGAGTTGGGGATGATGGTGGGAGTGCGGGCAGGGGCAAGCGGGCGGCCCGGGCCAGCAAGCTTGGCCAGGTCAAGGGACTGTGGTCACTCTCCCTTGAGCCGTGCCCTCTCCTGTCTCTTCCTCCCCAGGCTCTCAGGGAAGCAACTTCCTCTCCACTCTGAAGGAGACACCAGCGAGATATCCTTTGTTGGCAAGGGGGAGCCCTGGTGGGACCCGAGGCCCCTTCACTGGGGCGGGTCCCCGCACCTCATCCCGTAAACAGGGGAATGGACCAGAGCTGATGTTCACGCTCTAGAATCCAGTCTACTAGCTGCTTCTGTTCAGCCCCAGGCTGGAGCCGATTCTGAATGGGCTGTTGTGGAGCTGGGATGGCCGAGAGCTCTCAGGGCCATAGTCCCTGTCCTTCCTTAAGACACCAAGCTCCCTGGACCATGCCGTGTCCGCAGTTCTGGTGTCTGGAATCCTCAGTTCCCTCTACCATCCATCACCCTGGGCTCGTCCTGCCCTTGGGGTGCTCCCACACCCTGCTTGGGGCCCAGGAGGTGATCTGAGATCACGGAAAGCTTACAAAGTTAGATCCTTTCTGGGGAAGTGGCTCCACGGGAAGATGGGTGAGAGAGGCTGGCGAGGCCAGCTTCCAGGCACAGGGAGGCTCCCGGCCCCAGTGTCCGTGTACCTCCTTGACTGCGCTGCTCACCGTGCTGGAGTTGGTGATCTGCTTCTTCTCCATCTGGTCCATCCTGGGCCTCTCAGGGTTTCACACTTACCTCGTCGCCTCCAACTTGACAACTAATGAAGACGTGAGTAAGGCTGGAGCAACACCTCATCCCTGGGCCCGATCTCAGGATGGAGGCAGGGCTGAGGGAGCCTGGAGCAGCCGCAGTGCAGCCCTGCCTTTCAGACTGCCAGGGAAATGCGGGTGGAGACGTGAGGTGACCTGACGTCTCCTTCCAGTGTTCAGGGCTGGGCCCCGGGAGACCCTGTGCAGGCTTCCGAGGCCCCCTCGGTGCTGGCTCCCGGGGTCCCGAGGTTGCTTTCTCCCCAGCCCCGCTGGAGCAACGCTCACACCATAACCGTCATTCCAGTTGGCCAGCTCATTACCATTTCCAGAGTTCTTTCAGTTTCTGTCATCTCTTTGGGTCCTTTTGCCAGCTCTGAAGCAGAAGGAACGAGGATGCTTTTTCTTCATATGATGGCTGAGTGACTTGCCCCAGGTCGCCCAGCTGGAAAGGGACAGAGCCAGGGTTGCACTCACAAGCTCGCTGTGCCCACCGCACTGCCCTTGTAGACAGCAGCGATGTGCCTGTTCTCAGGATGTCCTGGGGCTCTCTGAGGCATCCTTGTTGAGGGGGCCGGCCAGGACAGAAATGTGAAGCTCCATCTACCTCCTGACCTGCTGCCTTGTAGATCTCTACCAACAAGCATTGTCTGAGCACCCACTGTGTGCCCAGCCCTGGGCCAGACCTGACCGCCCACCCCCCTGCCCCACCATCCTTCCAAACAACAAAAAAGAAATGAGAGCATCTGTTCCAGGGCCACCATCTGATACTGCTCAGAGGCCCATTGACCAACAGAAAATACATTTCTTGACCTCAGCCTGTCTTTCGGGGAAACGAAACTTAACATGCCCAATAGGGTATCACATGCTGGGTGATTGGTACAGAGCAGAAATGATGTCAGCCAGCTTCTCCCAAGGTGATTTCCTGGGGGCTGTTTCTGCAGGATCATACTAGGGGTTAAGCAAAAAGGGATGTCATGGCCAAATAAGTTTGGAAAACTCTAGGTTAAACTCAAGCCAGTATCCTTTACTGCTAATCTCCTTAAGGCCTTTGATAGCCAGCTTCACAGAGCTAGAGATGGGCAAGATTTCATCTAACAGTGTTACCAGAGAGTTCCCTATTTTTCAAATGAGGACTGAGACTCAGAAGTGGTGATCAGTCCAGGGTCATGCAGCAAGTCTGTGGCAGAGCCAGAGTTCACGGCCAGGTCAGCCTGAGCCCTGTGCCCTTGCACTGTCCTCCCTCTTGGGTGGCTGGACAGAGAAGGAAGGATGCACCCACAAAGTCTCCTTTGGAGGCTTCTCTTTGGCTCTGCTCTGTCTTCTGTCTTGGTTAGCGCCTCCTCTTCTGGGTGCCCCCCAACATCCAGCAGTCCCCCACATCCTCACTGAATGGCCTGGGTTAAGGGCATGTTCCCTGCAATAGACTAGCCAGAATTGGTTTCAGAATTTGCTGATCTTCCCCAGCCTCTAGAACAAGTGAAATGAAGGGAGGTACCTGACCCAGAGCTCCTTCCTGCTTGCAGATCAAAGGCTCGTGGTCCAACAAGAGGAGCGGTGAGGCCTCTGTCAATCCCTACAGCCATAAAAGTGTTATCACTAACTGCTGTGCTGTGCTCTGCGGCCCCCTACCTCCCAGGTAAGCCAGGGGGCACAGGGGAAAGGTCATAGGGCCTGGCCTGGCCAGGCCAGTGGGGGGTGGCCCTGTGAGTCTGTTCCTCTGAAAGAGGTTCTGGAATCAGCAGACCTCTCCCCACACCACAGATGCCCTCTGTCCACCGTCCCCTGCTGGGTGCACTCAGGACACTTGTCACATAAAGGAATTCTGTAGAGAGTTTTAACTTGTAATCCCGTGCGATCATTGTAGAAAAAATGAAGTACAAAATACTAACAAGAGTGTTGTATATGACATGTAATCCTACTCCCCAGGGATAACCACAATTAATGTATTGTCCATGCTAGAGTGAGGCTGCCTTTCTGGTGCTGAAGGCTGGACTGGGTGGGGCCTCCATCTTCCTCCTGGCAGAGGAGAGCCCTGGTGGCTCAGCCCTGCTGGGAAGCGCCCCCTCTGTCTTGACACCAGGGGGCGCTAGATGTCCAGCTCCGGAGTTAAATTGGGCACTGTGGGGGCGGGGGAGGGAGGCTGGTAAGACTTCCCAACACCATCCCCACCTTCTCCTGCTCAATATCCAATATGCTTCTCTCCGATCCTGCCCCCAGGGAAAGGACAGTAGGAATTGCACCATCTCCCAATGCCCTTTCATCCTTGCTCTTCCCCTTACCTGCAGCCTGGGAGCCCGACAGAACGCTGGACAGTTTGAATTAATAGTGGATAAAATCTGTGGCCAAAAGCCAAGTGTCCAGAGTACAGAGAGGGCCCTTCCGGAAGGGAAGGGTCTTGAGCCGCCAACTGGAGCGCAGCTCCCCTTTCCTCAGCCTTTCTAGGGCTGGGTCTTTCCTCGGCTGGGAGAAGGACCCTGCCATCCAGCCCCCGGCCTGGAGCTCTGGTGTCAGGCAGGGCCTCATGTGTCCCCCCCACCTTGTATTTTGAAAGCCTGATTGACCGGAGGGGATTTGTGCAGTCTGACACCGTGTTGCCCTCGCCCATCAGAAGCGACGAGCCAGCCTGCAGAGCCAAGCCTGATGCCAGCATGGTAGGAGGCCACCCCTGAGCCGGGCTCAGTACTTGCCACCTGCTGGCCTGTATGCCCCTCCGCACTCACCTGCCGCCCTCCACACCTGCCAGGACCCTCCCCATTTCACCCGAAGGGAAGCAGAGCCGCCAAAGACTTTTTAAGTCTTTTCGTATTTATTTCCCACCCTGCGTGGCCTTCCCCACACTGTGCCATGGCTGTACCCTCTGCTCCCTAAACCAGGTTCCCATGGTCTTGGGTGCCAAATTCCCCCAGCTGATCAGTGGCAGGAGTGACAGGAGAGAGAGACCAGGGCTCCTGAGGCCGCCCAGGGGACCACGCCAAGCCTCTGCCGTGCCTCTAAGCCGTGCCCGTGCGAGTGAGGGTGCGGACTGAGTGTGATGCCTCCGAGGTGGGAGAGCTGCTGGGCCCTGCTGGGCCGGGGTCCAAGGGGTGAAGCAGGACCGAGGAGCAATCGGCTCTGGACAGCAGGCTGTCGGAGAGGATGCTTCTGTGGTCTGCTTTGGTCTGTGGTCTCCTTCATTCTTTTTGTGATAGCCATTGTTCTTTCTTCCATTTTTGTTTTTGTATGGAGTTGGCCAGTAGACTAGAGCTGGGGCTCCTGGTAGAGAGGGCAGAGCTGGGGGTGGCAGGGGTAGCCTGTGTCAGAGGAAGCCAAACCGGAGCCAGGCACCCGAGACCTCAGCTCCTGCATGATTCCTGGGCAGCACACTAGGAAGCGGGGGCCTGGCCCTCTCTCTGCCCACGGACGGTTCTCCAGGGGCCCAGCCTGGCCCCTCACCTTCCTCCCAAGTCAGGTCTGGGGATGGGCAGCTTATACTCATGCTGGCAATACTTGAAATGGGTTTATTATTAATGCTGGGTATTTTGCACAATTTTATAGACCTCTTTTCTACATAGCCTTTTTTAAATGGAAGAAGAAAAATGAAGTCAGCCACATTGCTATCTGTGTAGTGCCAGGTTAAGGGTTATCAGAAGGCAACTTGGTTTTAATAAGTTTATTACAAGAGACCTTCTGGCCATGAGTGAGTGAGTGTGTGTGTGGATGTGTGTGTGCGCTCGCGTGCCCGTGTATGAATGTGGTTGGCTCCCACTTCCCCACACCCCCTGGGCTGCCTCACTCGCCACTGTCCCCCTTGGGTGTCAGCTGGTGGTGGCAACAGCGGGAGCAGCCTGAACCATGGGCACAGGGAGTGTGTGCATTGGTCACAGGAGACCCCTGGGCTCCTGCGGCAGTTCAGCCTCATCTTCCTATCTTCCCCTCCTCCAAGGACTTCAGACAAACAGTGGCTGGGACTCAGCGCCCAGCCCCCAGGTCAGGCTTCCAGCTGGGACCTGCCCAGACAGGCTGGGGCCTGGTCAGGTGGATGGGGTAATGGCTGTGGGGAGTGGCTGCCAGCCTGCATGCCACACTCCTTCCTCCAAGGTCTGAGTATGGGACCCAGTGCCAGGGGCTAGAGTATGGGGAGTCGGCCAACTGGAGGCCTCCCTCCAGAGAAAAGGAAGGAACAGGGTGGGCCGAGAGATGAGTGAAGGTTGGCCTAAATCTGGGTCAGAAACTTAGAGGATGTCCCTCCTCTCCTGGGAGTTTTAGTTTCTTGTCAAAATAGATAGGAAATTGTCCCTCTGTCTCCTTCCTTGGCCCTTTAAGTGGGCTGAAGCCCTTGGAAAGTGACATAGGAAGTCCTCGCATCTTGTCCTTCCTTGCTGCAGAGGCTAGTGGGTCACAGGCAGCTGAGAGGTGGCAGCTGCAAGGGGTTCCCTCTGGGAGAAGCAGCTTCGCCCCAGCCTCAGGACCCTGGGCCATGCTGCCGTGGCAGTGGGGGTGGGGAGGAAGCTGGCTAGAGGAGGGGACTCCTACCTGCCTTTTATTTAAGCCAGTATTCTTTGTTCCTGCTTGTAATAAAATTTTTGTTTTTAAGAATTGATTTGCTTTGGTTCGGTTTTTGTTTGCTCTTTCTTTGCTGAGGCCCCAACTGGCAGCTCTCTGTTCTTCCAGCCAAACTTGGTCTTTCCTGGGGAGACAGAAAGAAGGCAGGCAGCCCAGTGACCTGGCTAACATTCTCCCCTGGCTGGAGTCTGTCTGCTGGAGGCTGAGCAGAGGGGGCTGCAGCTAGGCCCCCGCAGGCGTGTAAGAAAAGGCCATCCTGTCTCTTCTTTGTCGCCTCTACCTTCCCCTGCCTTGGGGGCTTGGAGACCCCTGAGTTCTTCCTCCTTGCTGTCTTTCCATGCTGACCCCCAGGGACTGCTCAGCTAAGAAAATGTTTATAAGGCAGTGGATTCCAGTTTGAGAGCCAGAGCCTCCCTGGCCCCCGCCCCCGCCTGGGCAGCAGGGCCTGGCCAGACAGCTCGTAACGCTGGCCCACCTCTGGTATCTCCCCCAGGACACCTGTCAGGATTTTGCCATCTCCTGCACAGCCTGAGGGGAGCTAACAGGCCTCTTTGCAGAGGGTTAGCTGGTAAGACTGTATCTCCCTGTCAGCCAGCACCGCCTGCTCCCTCACACACTGTCTCATCCTCATCGCATGCCTCGCCATCCCCACGGAGCCCGTTCATCTGTCTGGTGTGTGGTGTGGTGTGTGTGCTGGCCGTGGTGGGGCCCCCAGTACTCCCCCCTAAGCAGAAGGGCCGGGGTGTTGGGGCAGGTCTAGAAGCCCAGCCCTACTCTGGACTGAGGAAGTGGCTTTGCACAGAGCAGCTCCCCAGCTGGAGCAGGAGGTGAAGAGCGAGGTCCGGGAGAGGATGCGCACCTGCTCCGAGGTGCTGGGGCCCCTTCGGGTGGTGTCCTGGTGTGCAGGGGCCCTTGATCACTAACACTGTGTCCTGGCTTTCTGTCCCTGCTGAGCTTTCTCTCACCCGCCCTTTTTCTCTCCTGCTTTGTTGCCTGCTGCCCGAGCCTTGGCCCTTCTGTGGGAAAGAGGCAGGTGCTGTGGCACCCCTGTGGGCCTCCTCTCTCCTCCCGTCTCGCTAACCCTCTCTCTTCTCCCTCTTTGCCCTCCTGCCCTGGATCTCCAGTTTGTGCGGGGGCTTAAGGACCTCCTGAAGACCGCTGCTCTCTGCCTCTCCAGGAGCGGCCTGGGGGGAGCCAGGCACCCGGCACCTCCACCTGCCTAACCCGGGCCACCGTCTGTGCCTACAGGGTCTGCCCCCAAGCCTGCCCCACACGTGTTCTCACTAGGGCCCCCCATAGGAGGCAGGGGCTGGCCTCTCTGCCCCCGCCCCCCTCCACGCGGCCAGTGTAGAAAGCCATAAAGCTGCTGTCGGCACGATGACATAATACTATGCTGAAACTCGCCCTCCCCTCCTCCGCTCTCCTTCCCCTTCCCCGGAACTGTAAGGAGTGAGGACTCTAGGAATCTTGCCTTAGAGCCTGCCCAGCCCCAGAATCAGGCACGGCTCTAGTTGAGCCGAGCAGGTTTCTTCAAGGAGCCGTCTGGGGTGCCAAGCAGGTTTCTTCAAGGAGCCGTCTGGGGTGCTGACTGATGCTGCTGAACAAGTTCGGTGACTGTCCCAAGCACAGCTGGTCTGACGCTGTTCCCACGGCGCCACCCCGCCCCCGGAGCAGGTAGGACGCCAGGAGAATGCTTGTACCCTTTGCTCCAGGCACTGAGGGACTGAGCTGGCTCTGGCAACCCCGTGCTCTCCAGAGGAACTAAAGGAAACCAGGCCGGGCCTAGGAAGTCTGCTGAGCCCATGGGCGTGCGGTGGGTGCTGCTTGTCTGCTGTCCTGTACCTTTTTTAACCAAAATAAAGATTTCCCTCTTCTTGCCATACCGTTGGCTGTCTGGTACCACCTCTGCTTTGGGGTCCAGGGCTGGGGCCTGTGATGGACCTGCAGAACACCTGGCTCACCCTCATCGCCAGCCTTGTCAGCTGGTCAGTGCTGTCCTGGGGATTTAAAAAAGAGGCACAGCGGAGCCAGAAGTGACACAGGCAGAGTGGCTAGTGTCATCGTCACCCTGCCCCTCTTGAACTCCTAGTCTCAGTTCCAGAGACCTTAGCTGACCTCTGAACTCGGAAAGGTCCCAGCCTAGGCTGGGACAGAGGGTTTAACTCCAGTCAGGGACTGTCACACCCCTGAACTGAGCCCAGCCCAGGGTAACAATGGAACCTTCCCTTTCCCCAGCTGCTGCCCCACATCGAGATACACACACAGTGTTCTAAGAGCTAAAAAATAATTACGGTGGTCATTTAGCAAGGGCTTGCCCATTCTCTTCCCTAAACCTATGAAGAAGGCAATGACAGCCTTTTTACAGGTGAGGGAACAGAGGCTCAAGAAAGGCACGGAAATTTCCCAGGGTCTCCCAGCTGATAAATCCAGGATTTGAACCTGATCTCTGCCCCAACCTCTGACCCTTCTGCACCACCCAAGGAATGAATTTGGCTGCTGTGGGAGGAGGGGATCTCAGGGAGAAACCCTAAAATTAGAGAATGTCATTCAGAGCCAACAGGGGGCTTAGTGATGATCTGTGTTGGCCTCCTTGTACTGATGGGGAAACTGAGGCCAAAAGGCAGGAAGGGACCTGCTCAAAGCCTTATAATGGATGCAGTTCCACACCCGGACCTTATTCCATTCTCTTTCCAGTAATTCCACACTGTGTCCTCGACTGGAATGGCCTAGGAGACGTAGGGTACTCTAAACAGCAGCACCTTGAGGAAGAAAAGGCTCAGCTGAGTCACTTAAAAGTAATCTCTCTCCCAAAGGCAACCAACTAGTACCGTGAGCCCTTAGCTGAATAACTGAACCCTTGTTCACAGCTAACCAAGGGAGAAGGTGCCAGTTTCTCCAGTCACCTGTTTAATTTGATCATTCCAAGACTGAAAAAATTTCCTAGGAAGTTCTTTCTGAAATCTAACCAGAATCCCTCCTGCTACAATCAGAGCCCCAGCCTTTTTCTCAATGGAGGTAGCTATCTTCTCTATGCCACAACCCTTCAAAGGCTGTTATTACTGGCTAAGACGGATTGGTTGTCTGTGAGACCAGAGGCTTTGATCCTGCTGGTAGGATGGATGCTATATGGGAGGGTGGGGAGGTAGCAGGCAGGATGAGGAAAGCCCCTTTGGGCTGCAGCCCCTGCTTCTGTCCTGCTGACTCAGGTGGCTGACAGTGGAACTCCGTGCCCTGCCAGGGCCTGCTGCCTCCTGCCTGCCTGGGCTCCTGGACTTGGGAAAGGGAGGCCTGGAGGCAAAGGGAGGTGCCTGAGACAGGAACTGAGTCAGGACCGACAGGCCAGAGCGGGCAGGAGGTGTTAGGTAGCCTGGCCTGCTCATCACTGTGCTGAGGGCATAGAGCTTGTGGTGTGAACCATCAGGTCTCCTGGCTTGAGTGGTAGGAAGAGCATGCTTCCTCCCTTGCGACAGAAGCATCTCCAAAATTCCTAGGCCTATCAGGCCCTGCCCTCCAGGTTTCTAGTGTTCTGGGATCTCCTGCTTTCCCCCAGGACTTGGGAAAGCCTGAGCTGGATGACTAATGCGAAGGAAGGGCCTTGAGGGCCCAGCGCCTGCGCAGGCCAGAGGAATGTCTGGGCTGGAGAGCGAGGAGGCAGTGCTGAGCGAGTGCATCTGACCATTCATTCGTCTTTGCAGCTGGGCAGGGTCTGGCCTTCGGCTGAGGCCTGGTTTGAGGTCCTTCCTTATTTCATAGAAACCAGCTCCATATTAGTGCTTTGAGTGTGTATGTTTATAATAATAAACATTATTATGTGGATTTTTTTTCACACAATGTTAATAGTTCCATCCACTCTACTAAGTGCTTTCCTCACAACAAGCCCCGTTTTATACTTAGGAGAACTAAGGCTCACAGAGGTTGTCACTTAGACAAAGCCACAGCAGCTTGTGAGAACTGAACCCAGGCAGTCTGATTCCAAAGATACTAGGCTATTCTGTCTGTCATAGAAAAATAATACACATTCACCATTGGTAACCTGAAGATACTAGGAAAATCAAAAGAAAAAAAACCCACTTAGACTCCTACTACCTTAAGATATACTCTGTAAATTGGTACTTCAGTGTATTTTGTTTCTAGCGTTTTCCGTGTCAGTGATCTAAGCAAAGCCTTCGGGATGGCAAGCCTAAAATCCCTTCTGCTTCCTTGGCAGATCTCATCTTTGGGCCTCAGAGTTCTGGCCTCAGAGTCCCTCCAGGAGGGGAGGGTGGGTATTCAGACACCAAGAGGAACTGGGGACGGACAGGCCTGTGAAATAGTCCTGGTTCAAGGATTAAACTGGTTGGATCCCAGAGAGAGGAGCCCCACCCCTGAGTCCCATCTGAGCTTTGGCTAGGGGTGGAGCAGATAAGCAGGAACACACCCTCATAGGTGCAATGCCAACACCTTTAGGTGAAATTCTTGGCTGACACAAAGATAGCACCTCAGTGAACAGGGACAGAAGATTGGCAACAGAGCAGTCTCCATCTCTGAGGCCTCTGCCAGGGGTCAGGGGTGGGGCCATGGTCAACGGGAAGGGGCAGGGAAACTTCTGAGAGGCAGGCTGGGGAAGGCAGCACTCAGCTAGGACTGCTGCCCCGTAAAACAAAATGGCCTGTGTGTGGGCTTCCCTGGTGGTGCAGTGGTTGAGAATCTGCCTGCTAATGCAGGGGACACGGGTTCGAGCCCTGGTCTGGGAAGATCCCACATGCCGCGGAGCAACTAGGCCCGTGAGCCACAACTACTGAGCCTGCGTGTCTGGAGCCTGTGCTCCACAACAAGAGAGGCCGCGATAGTGAGAGGCCCGCGTACCGTGATGAAGAGTGGCCCCCGCTTGCCACAACTAGAGAAAACCCTCGCACAGAAATGAAGACCCAACACAGCCAAAAATAAATAAATAAAATAAAAAGCCAAGCATTTAAAGCCCTTTAAAAAAAAAATGGCCTGTGTGACAGCCACCTCCTTTTTTTCGGTCCTGTCTCTCTCCCCGGTTACTAGCACCCCACCCTGGGGAAGCAAACTGGGCAGAGTACCCAGGTGGCCTGCTTCCCAGCCTCTGACAGAAGGCAGGCTGAGTCAGGCACGAAAGTGGGATAGTCAGTGAGCTGGGTCCCCACCCTCTGTGAGCCCCACTGATGCATGATGGCAGGTGGCTTGGAGGGGCGAGGTGACCTGGTGTGGAGAGCCAGAGGGTAAGTGCTCAGACAAGTGGCAACAGGCCACCAACTTGAAAGGGAAAATTGTGCTGTGATGGGGAATGTATCCAAAAACCTACTGGGTGACTGATTACAAAGGCTGGGCTGGAGCGTCAGAAGCCGATCGTTAAACACCTCATTAAGTGGCACCCTGAACGCTGCTGCTTGTGCATTTTGGGAGCTCAGAGGGGACAGGACCCTGAGGGGGAGTGAGGAGTGGGGGATGGAACCATTTCAGGTAGACTCTGGAAGAAGCCTGCATCTTACTTCTAAATACAGCCTGGAGCTCACAAGTCAGAAGCCTTGATGGGAGAGAAGCCAAAGCTGTGTGACCCTGAGCAAATCTCATCCCTCTCTGAGCCTTAGTATTCCCATCTCTGCAGTGGGAGTAGTAGTCACAGTCCTGCCCATTTTGCAGAGACACAGCAGATACTATAGATCACGGGTATGAAGGTGCTTGGGAAACTACAGCCCTACCTAAACAATGAGTTATCTCACCTGAACCAATGGGGGAAATGTACCTGGCAGGATCAGGAACCCCATCCTCCTGCACCTGGCTTCATGGGCTCTGCCTAGGCCCACAGCGGTCAGGTAGCTGAAGCCATCCTCAGCCCCTGGAAGGACACGGTGAAGGAGGATCTGATTTGAGAAACTGGGGCAGCTACCTCATGTGGCAATGTAATGGAAACCCTGAACAAGAGGGGGCAGCCTGGAGGCTGGAGAGGTGTCGATGCAGGTGCGGCCAACGCCCAGATTTCTCCTGCTGACTGTCCCAATGACTCACCCCACATCCCAGCCCTTTCACCTTTAAGGAAGAGCCGGAAAGGGTGTGGTGGGGAAGAGGAGAGGAGGCAGGTCTGGGGCCCCAGTCCCGCCCTCTGCCCCTCCCCACCCTGCTGTGGGCCTGGCCTTCCAGCCAAAAGGCAGGCCGAGAGCAGAAGAGGCACAGAACCCGGCATCTGTTCCGAGGCAGCCAGTTAGCCTGCCGCCTGTCTGTCCCCAGAGCCATGGAGAGAGCCAGCCTGATCCAGAAGTCCAAGTTGGCCGAGCAGGCTGAACGCTATGAGGACATGGCAGCCTTCATGAAGAGCGCCGTGGAAAAGGGTGAGGAGCTAACCTGCGAAGAGCGCAACCTGCTCTCAGTGGCCTACAAGAATGTGGTGGGTGGCCAGCGGGCTGCGTGGAGAGTCCTGACCAGTATCGAGCAGAAGGGAAACGAGGAGGGCTCAGAAGAGAAGGGCCCGGAGGTGCGAGAGTACCGGGAGAAGGTGGAGACAGAGCTCCGGGGCGTATGCAACACGGTGTTGGGCTTGCTGGACAGCCATCTCATCAAGGAGGCCGGTGACGCCGAAAGTCGGGTCTTCTACCTGAAAATGAAGGGCGACTACTACCGGTACCTGGCTGAGGTGGCCACCGGTGATGACAAGAAGCGCATCATTGACTCAGCCCGGTCAGCCTACCAGGATGCCATGGACATCAGCAAGAAGGAGATGCCACCCACCAACCCCATCCGCTTGGGCCTGGCCCTGAACTTTTCCGTCTTCCACTATGAGATCGCCAACAGCCCCGAGGCGGCCATCTCGCTGGCCAAGACCACCTTCGACGAAGCCATGGCTGACCTGCACACCCTCAGCGAGGACTCCTACAAAGACAG